TACAATTGCATCTAATAGCTATTATTTAATAAAGAATTATTAAAATATATATATTGATTATTACTAAAGAAAAATAATATCGATTGATATTTCTAAAATATCACACCCTTCTGTCTTTTGATAATCCGATATAATTGCGGTATCTCTTTGCAATAAGAGGAGAAATTCCAACAAAAACACCTTTGGTGTAAAAAAATGACAAGTTCGTAGACTGATGTTACTTCACCTTAAAAAAATACTACGAACATTACTAGAAACAATTAGATGTCATTATCTCCTTTATTTGAAAAACAAACTACATCAAACCTTCAGAAGTATCAATAGTAATAATGTTACTTTTACAATAAAAGGGTAAAACTTGTTATGCACATTCAACCTACTACAGGCATGAGATCAAATGTTGCTGACAAGTTTAAAACATTTTAACCGGTGTACCGATGGCTTCTTAATATAATAAAATAAATTACCGTGATACACGTACAGACAAAGCTCGATTAATAATCGTTTCCATAATTTTTAATCGTTAATATATAATATGAAAGTAATACATAATAAGAAAGAAAGGTTAATGAAGTTTGAAAAATATGTAACAATGTATCTTAATCCAAACTGAGTATGTAAAACATTCGTACATGAGTTCGGTACCGCGGTTAATAACCCTTTAAATGGTTCAGAATAAAGATTAGTCACTTATACAATCGATCGAAGGCCACAAAGTAAGGAAAATAGTGGACTATGAAAACATTATACTAAGATACATTGTTGGATATTTTTCAAACTTTATTCCCTGTTACATTCATATTATATATTGGCAATTCCAAATTATGGAAACGATTATTAATCGAGCTTTCTGTGTACTTGTCTCGCGGTAATTGATTTCATTACTTTAAGCGGCCATTGGCACACAGGTTAAAATATTATAAATTTATCGGCAACACTTGATCTCATAACTGTAGTAGGTCGAATATAAATAACAATTATAGCCCTTCTATTGTAAAAGTAACATTATCGATATTGATACTTGATTTGTACAAATGGGCGATTTCGGGGAAAATGATCATTTTTTAAACAGGTGTACACATATTTGATGCAAAACAAAATGTACCGTGAGATTTGATAAAAATATTTAGTTTCAGTTTTTAATGGCATGATTGTTTTATCGTGTTCAACAAGTGGTTAATTTGTACTATTTATGGAGCAAAAGCGATATAACCTTTTTTTGTAATTTAATTAATAATTACAATGATAATCCATAATTTATTCTACCCTCGGGATGCAGTAAAAGAGCGATCAAATGTTAATTTAAGAAGAGCAGCGTCCACGAGACAGAGCTCCGAAAACAATAGGCCGATTTACAAGTGGCGCATGGAGGGGGTCCAGGGTTGGGTAAGTATAATACCTCATGTAATATACGTGGTTTTCTCCGTGTATATTACAACCTATAATACGTCCCTAGTTTTCTACGCGAGCGCAAAGGACGTTACTCCCTTTTCATTTTAAATAGAAAATAACAAATCCAATTAGAAAATGAATATCGAACAGAACTAAGTCAAAGAAATTTAAATACAAACGGCAAATGAATTATTTCTTAACAATTTTTACGTGTTTATATGTGCGGTAAAAGACGTTAACCTCTCGAACGCATATATCGTGCATCCGTAAAACCCGCCATATTGAAAACGTAAAATTCTAAAGAATTTTAAATACAAGCGCCAAATTAATTCATCGTCCCTTACAATATTTCCTTGTTTACACACGTGCTAAAAAACGTTTATACCCCAGCAGAAGCCGTATATCGTTCACCCGCGGCATTCTTTACATCAAAAACGTAATTTATTAGTTTTCTAGGATTTTCTCCGGTAAACCACTTTCTTACGCAATGTACGCGAATAGTCTCGAAAAATGGGGAATTCCCCAACCCTTCGAAAGAACGCAGCGCGAGCAGGTGTCGAGAAAGGTCTATCCGGCCTCCTAGTGGACCGCCAGCCCGTAATAGCGTCCTCCGGGCGAGGCATCCGCGAGACCGTTTTGGCCCGGCGTCGGCAGGTCTCCGCTAGGAGCATCGTATCAAACTCCGTACAATTGCGCTTGCTCCCGCCAATGCGTGTCTCGGTGTCCCCACTCCGCGGAGGGCGGCGTAACGCTCCCGCCGGCCCGGCCGCCTACCCTAAATCTTGGGACAATCAGTTAGTAATCGGACGTCAATGGGCTCGCGCGCGCCGCGCGTCCCCTCCGCCGACACACGCGCGCTTCCGATACATCCCCACGTGGGGGCGGGCTCGGCGGGCACGGCAGGCACCGGGGCCGCAGTAGAGGGCAGTCGGGAGCGGCCGCGAGCTCTCGGTTCGCTTCCGGTGCGGAGGAACGCGTGCTCTCATCACGGTCCGGTCGGTCGACGGCCGACCGACCGACCGACCGACAGACCGACAGGCTCGAGGCTCGGCCGGAGTGTGCTAGTGATCGTTGCGTGCGCACGTGGCCCGAGCTTCGGCGCGGCTATTGGCTCCCGCGAGCGGAGCTAGTGGGCACGCCGTATCGCGGCGGCGGTCGCGATGGTGGCTATTTAGGTATCTTCATAACATTACCCTCGCGCGTATGCACCCGCGGCGAACCCGGGATCGCCTCCTCGGTCGATGGACGATTCGAGTCGTTTGGACTCGTTTCATCTTCCCTAATCGGGCCGGTAAACGGCGGCTCGCTCGGCGAGTGGGCCATGTCGATGATATCGCCTCCTCCGAATTGCTAGACCTCGTTTCGGAGAGGGGACGGAAGAGGCCGAGCTAAAATGAAGGACTCCGTGGTAGGAGAATCGGAGACCGACAGGGAGACAGAGGCGAGCCGTCGAGGTGGATCTTGATTACTCATGACGCCGGGTAATGCGAATCGCTCGTGTCGGGGCGGTTTACTATGATGTGACGTTAACGCGTTTCAATGTACGGAGGATATGTAAGCGGAGGAATGGTATTTCACCGCGAGACTCGATGCTCGCGTGGAACGACCCGCCTTTTGCGGTGCCTCCACCAAATGTTCTCGCTTTGGCGGATACCGTCAAACGAGCTGGAGAGTGCTCTCGTTTTGGACACGACACCGCGGAGGGACAGAAAAGCCGCGAAATGCTTGGCGATTTTGAATAAAACCAAGGAAACCTGCCGCATACTTCCGATGAAATGCGTCATTGTTGACGCCATCACCTTTTTTCGAGTGATAATGCGCGTGTGCGAGATAATCATTAAGTATTAAGGGCATTGCGGAGCGTGAAGCGCTGAATTAAACTTAGTGCAATGGAAGTTTACGCCGGAACGTTTCGGGAGGATGGACAAAGACGCACTTAATGAACACCGTTTTCCTTGAAAAGTGAGTCCTTGATTCGTGAACTCTACGCTGCATGCCGCATCCCCGACAGAACCGATTGCCACGTGCAGGGGCAACGATTAATTTCTTGATTAAAAGTTAATTAAACGTTGGTCGAGCCAAAGGACAATAGTCGACGCACCGATAAATATCGTTCATAACCGTAACGCACAAAGTGTTAACCTTACGAAAATACGTTTGGTGTGTCCATCGCTGGAGAAGAATCAACGAATCGAACTAATTCTTCCTCCTGCGAATATAACATTCCCTAATCGACGTTAAATATCACAAGGAATTGAATCTTGCCCGTTCGCGTTGAAAGTGAGACTGTTTATCACCTGACGGGAACTGGGTACTAATCTTCAATTAGGAATCGATTAAGTACGAACGAACGGGAGGACGGCAATTGGCTTTTTTTGGGTGCTAAACGTCATTCTCGAATAAAAAGGACGGCTGTTTATTCCGAAATGTGCATTTAAAGTATTTAATGCTTGAAATATATCGGTATTTTCAGTTTAATTTCACACGTTACAAAGAAGTACCTTGTATCGTGGGAACGGGAATTGCTGTTACGTACGCTGGTGAATGAAGTTTTGTTCGACCACATTCCGAGTTTAACTATAATGGTTTATGACAGTAATATCAAAATTCCTGGCAGAATTTGATGGAATACAAACTAACCGGAGAAAGATAAGCAGTTTGCGGATGTCCATTACCGTTGCGTACACAACGCGTTACCTGTACGAAACTGCATTTAACAAATGAGATGGTCTCGACGTTGAATCGTTGACCACAAAAGTCTCTTTTTCTGGAAAAGTTATTTGCCTTGCAGATGGTATTACCGATTATCGCTAAATATTTGCAAAAATTAAATTTTAACCGTTCATGGTGCGAATAAAATCGTTTAACGTGCAATATGAGCAGTGATCCATTCTTGCCTAGAAATACATTCAGTCTTTGATAAAAAAGCAAGCTGACCTGCTAAAAAAACTACCGTCGATAGAAAGAAGAATAATGTACGAAGTTTCAATTGAAGAATCAGATATAAAGCGTGATCAACTTGAACTCCTTTCATTTTTTAATGGGCTTGAACTGCCGCCATCAACCGAAAAATTGATACGGCATTCTTAAAGAAATTACGGGTTATTTATTCGCACTCTAAGCACACGATATCTCATTTTCATAAGGAAGGATTCATTTCCATATAAAACCTAACGTTACACCCAAACACCGGAGGATGGTAATAATCGGTTTGATAAAAATGTCATCACCATTACATAAAAAGAACGTTAATGGGACAGAGTAGCAATTAATGCCCTGGCGACTTGTAGAATGCCGATTGGGGCGACTTAACGGCGTTCTATTTGGGATTGCGGACGATATTCTCCGGGATGCGATTGATGCTAGATACTCCGGGGAATTGATGTCGCGAAGATGGACACCGCAGGAGAGGCGGCGATCGATTGGGAAGTGATCCTTGTCGTGTCGTCAATTATGCATTTTAATCCCGTAGGCAAATCGGATGGATGGAAGTTGATTTAAAGACCGCGGGAAGATTCTCGCAGGTTAAACACCTCTTTACCGCGTAATCGTAACGTCGAATCGCAAACCGCCTCCTTGATCGGGATCCTGGACGGTAACGTTGAATTATGCAGCAACAAAGGCAAGAATCGGAGCACTGGCATCAACGAGAAGAACCAGGGACGAACGGGCAACAATCGTTGAAATCATCCGTGGACGAGAGCGACGTCAACGGTCGAAAAACGGATGGCGGTAATGACAAAACGGAGGACGTTCTGCCGGAGCCTGGTAAAGCTCTCGGTGCCCCGACTTATCGGAATACCCTGCTGAGCTGCAGAAGTAACGCAAATGCTGCCAATTCCGCTACGAATACGGTAAGAATCAACTCGTGGCACAACCACGTTTACGCGGTTCCCCCGAGGGTGCCTACGCCCCATGGGATCGGCGACATCCTCGGCTGGAATAAGTCTTCGGATAACGATAAGTTTATCGTTAAGGGCGAAGTCGGAGCAACCTATGGAAATACGAACGACCACAACGGTATGGGTGGTGGGAAGATACTCGCGCCTACGCCCAGGAGGCTTAACGCGAATCCTTTGATTCGAACGTCCCTGGCCCTGTACTCGCCATTGTCGATACACACCCCAAATTCCATTCAGGGATCCCTCAAGTCGCAGGCCTGCACCCCCAGCCCTGCGACTCCATTGAGGTCACCGTCCTCGGATGCTAGTCTGTCCCCGAAATTGCACCGTAGCGTGTCCATCTTGAAACAATCGATCCACCACTGCCACGAGATCGCCAAGACCGAGCATTCCTCGTTGGAAGACATCGTATCCGTTGGCGAGGAGGACGAGCGGCCACTCAATCTCAGCACCACCTCCAGGACTCAAAGCCCTCGCGATTCCTTCGACGCGAATGAATCCTCCGTGTATTCCAAGATGCTTCCCCTGACTTTCCGAAAACCCGAGTTGGAGTCCCTGCATCACCATTCGCTCGGACTTCATTACGTACCTCACCGAGGCACGCATCAGTCGTACCTGCAAAATGGCAAGGCTCCCGCGGATGAGACGTCACTCGCTCTACCCAGGAAGCGGGCCAGAACTCCTTCGAAGGGTAAGATTTTTATGCAATTGTGAAAACTGTTTTTTATATCAAAGTAAATGTCACGCTGGAACATATCGTTACCCTGCGGAGGTGGAACTTGAATATTTTATTAAACTCCTTGAATACAGGCTTTTTTACTCAGCACTCGACGCTGGGATTTCCTCGCTCAAATGTGTATTTGGCTCGGAACTCTACCGAGTTTCTTGACGTAAGGATATCCGATCAACGTCACACCGTCACTCAAAATGCTTTTTTTTTTTATAGTAGGCCTTTTTATAGTAGAACTTTAAGGGGTTATATGCGGTTGTCATAAGCGAAATTCAAGAATTTTTTGTCGTGACCAAAATGCATTTTTTAATCGAACACAGAGCGTGATTTCATGGTACAATTATTGAACTTAATATATAATTTCTTTTTGTCAAGATATATGTAAAATTTGGTGAGATACAGGAATTCTCTGAAAATGTTTTTTTGCGGTGACCACGATACCTCAAAAAGTATTTCACCGATCGGCTACAAATTCTTGGAGCTCATTATACATATGGAGGTCTGTTGAATGAACGAAGAATTCTTTTTTTTTTCTATGAAAACGCTGTTTTTTTTAAGGAAAAACGAAAATGTTATAAGACGAAAAAAGTGATTTTTCAGGAAAACCCCTGCCATTTTGATAAAAATCGGAATTACGAAAAATCCTTCGTTCATTCGGCAGTTCTCCGTGTATAGAATGAGCCCTAAAAATTTGAAGCCGATCGGCGAAATACTTTTTAAGATATCGTGGTCATCGCAAAAAGAAACTTTTCCGGAGAATTGCTGTACCTCGCTAATTTTGGTAATATATCTTGACAAAAAATGATATATTAAGTTCAATAATTGTACTATGAAATCACGCTCGGTTTTCGATTAAAAAATGCATTTTAGTTAGGAAAAAAGATTCTTGAATTTCGCCTTTGACAACTGCATATAACCCCTTAAAAATACGAGGACAAAAGCAGTTTTAAAACTTTTATCTGCAGGATAATTTTATCATCTATCAGTATATCGTTTATTTTTACCTTATTGGGGACTTGTATTGTGTTCATCGTGGATATTTAAAAAGAACGCTATTTTAATTTGCAACTCTAAGCCTTGGTAGGGAGTCCATCGAGTCTCCAAATTCATTCGATTAATAACGGCAATTCTAAAGACATAAGCTCATCTCTGGGCTTGTTTAATAAGTTCGTGAATAAATTAAGTGGCATTACAAAAACATCATAAAAAACCGGAGAAAATATTAAAAAATGTATTCTTTATCGAAAAGGGTGTAGCCGCATAAACATATGAAAAGTGGCCCTATACCAAATTAAACGTAGTACAAATTAGTTATTAACTTGTTACCAATAAACAAGTTTACTGAAGATTCATCGCTGCATCTTTGTTGTGACGATAGTTAGAGGTGAAAATGTGATTTTTAGTTTTCATTTAATAACTTTTTTTTATTAAAGCGTTAAAAATTATGAAAAAATCGTAGTACTTAACGTATAAAGATGTACGCTGAAAAATTGTTGAAATTTTTGGTTGCATATTCGACTTGGAAGAAAAATGTTTACATTTTTAGTTGCAATTTTTACTTGCGAGTTTTTCATGGCCCTTCTTTATTCAGCAAGAATATCATCTTGTATTTGTTTATTTGTAATTTTTACAGACCTTTCAAGAGGGTGCATCATTGCTTAAATCTAGAACATGCACGTGGTTCTCTCTTTGATCATTTTTGCTACAATGTTACGTGTGGGGAGGGGGGATGTTTTGACGTCTATGCTAAGAATTTGTATCATTACATCCGTCGGTCGCTTCTAATCAGTCCAGTAGAAAGCAACTTATTTTTTCGGAGTCACCGTGACCCACCTACGAGTAAATCAAAGTTACTTCGGAGTTACTATGAATTACTATTTTTTAACTTTGGAACTGCTCCGGGTATTTTCTCGTAAGTATACATATTATTTTTGGAAAAAGTGACGTTTTGAGCATTCATATACAGGTAGCCCTCCTACGACACGGCAATATAACACCGATTCGCTCTAACACAATAAGAAACTTGCGAAAACCTTTGGGCAACCCTGTACTCCTACAGTACTGGATAACATGATTTTTGTTTAACATATTTAAAACCTAAATTACCTTAAAATAATGACGGGAAGGAATAATAAAATATAGTGCCTTTACGTGAAAATAATATTTCTTGTTCTTTTTTTTTTCGTTTTGTATTATACATACATTTATATTTTTAATAAAAATGAAGTTGCTTATGTGGAATTAAAAGGAAAAATGTTTGTCTTTAATGGGTTTTCGGAACGTAATCCCACCTTTTTGTCCTGGCTCTGAGTCTTATATAACACGGTTTCATAGCACGGCATTTTCTAGAAACCTATCTACCGTGTTGTAGGAGGGTTACCTGTACAAATATTTGTATGCATGTCGGCCAAAAGCGATGTTCTGGTATAGCACAATTTGGGGGAAGACGGACCATTTGTATCATTTAAACATTAAACACTAAATGACGTTGCTGTTGTCGGCAGTCATTTGTTGTCAGCATGAAGATGCCTAGCAAACAGTTGGAGTAATGATTTTGTACACGTTCTTGATGTAATTTGTGTCCAAAGTTTTGTAGAGGATTTGACATTTTTCGTGGGCGGAAATTAATTATTGTTTTTCACGTCAAGTATCTCCTCTGAATCCATGATAGCGTGGTTTGAAGCACTATAATATATCTCTACAACAAAATCTTGTAATATTATATACTATGCAGATAATGCTAAGACAAGTACCACATTACAAATTCATGTGATGGTAGGTAAGTTAACAAAACGTTTAGATTTCAATAAATTTCAAAAATTTCTATCCACGTCGCGATTCGTTCACATGCTTAATCCGGCGGGAGTAAGGCTAATGAGTGGCATACCCTAATGAAAGAACTAAGTAGTAAGCTGTTATTTTAATTAAATTAATTAGGTTCGTGACACCCAGTCTTATGCGCGCTGGTTAATAAGGAGTGAGGAATTAACCTTGGAAGAAACTGTCCTGGGTCCGAGTCTAAGTGTGGCAGGTGTGGTACTCGTGGTCTTGGAGTGTTTGGAGTCACGGACGTGGCACTTCTCGTTGCACGGACAGTCCGGAGGCATGGGTGAGTCAATTCGCGGCTACGAAAACTATTAGGAAGACTACCCTTCGAGGCCCTCCGTCCTGGTTACGGGGCTAAGTGTGCAAGGAGGCGTCGGGCTTGTCGAGCGGTGTGTGGGGAAGCCTGAGTGGCCGTGGAGGCGATACCCTGGAGCTGTCGTGTCGTCCGCGAGGCAACGGAGAGACCTTGGTTTCGGAAGGCTCCTTCCAGGAGCCAGGTCGCTTAGCCGCGCCTTGTCCGCTGGTTTTTGTGGACCTGGAACCTCGCATTGTGTGGGGAGTATCCGATGTGCTAGCCCGCAGACGGGACGGGGTCACCGGCGATGGTGGAGGCATCAACAGCCTACCCGAAACCTTCGTTCGGGTCCGACAGGGGGTCCCTTCCTGGGACCGTGTGGACGCTTGTTGACGACAGTCCGGGTCAGCAGCGACCTATCATAGGGTGGAAATAATCTTCCCTGTGGCCAGCGAAAAGTTTGGGGCAGCGGCCGGTGAGAACTATCCCTCTGATTGAGTCCGGTCGAGTAACAATAACTGCACGATTGAACTCGAGAGGTTTTTTTGGGATAGTTTAAATACTGAATTTTTCCCCGCGTTCGAGGACTGAAACTTCGGCGGGGGAAGTGCAAAGGTCCAATGGGAGAAAAAGTCCCTTATTAGTTGGTTTCTCATTGCTTTTAGAAGGTTCTTGGGGTCATTGATTGTTTGTAACTCCCTCCGAAGTTTATAGTCTGCACGTGCGCGGAAGTTCCACTGTATCGTAATCTAAACTCTAGGCTTTGTATATTTCAATTCTTATGACCTATGCTTCGGGATTCCTTAACTAGGTGCTGTACAGTGAATATTAAGACTTCGACCTAAAGAGTTAAAATAGAAGTGCCCGAAGCAGTATTAGTATTTAACTAGGTTCGAAGGGTGTCCCAAGAAATCGGGGATCGCGAGGTCTAATTAAAAAGGATTAAGTCGTCCTCTGTCTAGGATGTATGGAGGTTACGTTCTGTTACGCGGGAGGTAACAGTGTATTAAAATGATTCATCTATTCTCAGCACCCTTATTTAACATCATTAACAGCGAACGCAACATCACAAGAAACAGGGCGGAATTATCACCTCTAATAAACTCGATATTGTCCCGAGCAATAATTTATCTCGGTGATTCTTCTCAGCAGTTGGAAGAAAAAGGATTTGAAACGTGCGAACCATGTTTTAAATACAGTTTTCGGTATTGTTTCATTCAGTACGTTTCCGCGATTCGGTGGGAAAAGTTAAAACTCCTCGCGGAGGGAAACGGTTGAGTCGAACAGGCCGATTCGACCGGTCCAGATTACCGAGCTCCATTGACCATTGTCAGTTCGATAGAAGACCGCAACAAAGGTAAACCGGAGATCAAAGAAACTAATAATAAAGTGAATATTGCAAGAAGGAAATGAAAGGCGTACAAAAAATGGCAAGGCGATGGGCGGTCGCGATTAGCTATATCGCGCGAGCAGTTACAGTTAATAATTGAAATGTTACCGAGCGTGACGTTTTATTCTTTTGAAGTCGCTTCAAAATAAAACGCGGCTCGGTCGCAATAGCCTGTTTGCGCTCTTCGCAATCGCAGACAACTACTCGAGGACCGCTGACAATCGACGATAAGCGAAGCGCGTCCTCATAGAAACTCTTCAAAATTTGCCATTTTACATACGCAGTTGCCACTTTGCCTATTTATGCGATTTTAGGCGTTTATAATTTTCAATTACGATTATAATTTCAATAGTAACAATGTTCCGAAGGCTATGATGGGCGGTATATTTAAGCTGCTCAATCCCGTTCTAAATATCAACCTGAGTTCAAAGTTACGAAACACATCATTGT